TGTAATTTAAGTGCTAAGACTTTATTTCTTCCCAGGAAAGCAGTTAAATTTTTCTTTTGAGAATCGAAAAATCATTGAATATAAATGAAAAGTGCTAGATATGATGGTAAGTTATGGATACTAAAATTGCAAGATTGATGAATGCAATTTCTGGAAATGTTCGCTGTCAGAATTTACATCTGACTGCTTGATGCTGATTGTTTTTGGGACAAGAATAAGAATTTTTAATTATTATCCAAATAAATTCCCCTGAAATATTCTAATCAATTATGAAGATTTTTCTTTTCCTACTTGAAATTTCCGTTTGTTTAAATTACAGGATGACCTATGAGTGTTTTGTAACTTTCAGGGTTTCAAGGTATCGAAAGAAATAAATCTTCTCAATAAATCTTAAGCTTCTTGTTAACTTTTTGATAAATGTATATGTAATTTGAATACTAGCAGTTTTTCATTTCGTTAAACCATATGTAGTTCTTACCGCATTTTATTAATTCAAAGTGTTGACTCAATCAATGTCCCTTTGGGAAGAAACAGATGAATAATCGAAATCTTTTTTTCTTCTTTTTTCAATTTATAAAGATGCAAATAAATTTGATAGCTTGAAAATTCATTTATTCATGTGATTAAAGCTTAGGTTAGACTGGAATTTTCTTCTTTAAATCATAGCATTCAAGAAATTGCCTTTCTACACCAGTTAATTCCAGTCTTGTAATTCACTTTATGCAGTGTCTTGCTCCATGTTGGATATAACGATGTAAATTTTGGTTTGTTTGGAAGAAGTGAAACAACTAATGAAATCAGTGTTAGGCATTCACGTCAGCTTCTTATTAAATTTGTATTTTCCTGACCGAGTGAACTACAACAAAATTTGTTTGTCTTGTAATCTCGATTTGTTTAAGCAGGTCTGTCCATTACTCTGTCCCTTCATTTTCCCAGATCTGTAATACTATTAGTTGGCTTTTACTATGGCATCTCTATCATTTTATTCATTTTAAGCCCAACTTGGATCTAAATCTAGTAAAATTAATTAAAATAAATGGTATATATATTTTGCGGAGTCGAATTTCATTTTTAAAGATGACAACAATATCAATTCCGTTTCATAATTTTATCTCAGTAAAGAGTTTGAACTTTCAATTAATGATTTCAGAAAAAAAATGCTGTATGAATACTTATGCACACTAGCTTTTTCTCAAAATGCTTAGGCGCTTAATTACAATTAAGTGACTACTTGTAGAACCTTTTAGAAATATTTGCTGAAATAAAATCATTTCTTACGGTATAACATTAGGAAGGCAAATGAATTATTAATCTTAAGCAGTATTTTGAGTAAAGCAATAAACTTTTCATGTAGAAGTTAAAGATATGTAATATCGGATTCCCCACATTTCGTATTTTCATCGATCCACAATTTATTACCTAACATTTAAAAATTTAATTGTGAGAATAAATCCAATATTATGAACGTATCAAGAAGCTGATTAAAAAAAATAAACATTGCCCAAAGTCGTTGGCAAGCAGTATTTCATATCTCCCTCACTTATACATAATAACTTAAAGCAAATGAACTTGAATTTCACAGCCTTTCCACTGTTATCAAATGCTTAATACAAATTGCATAGGCTGGTTCTAAAATATTATAAATAAAGATTGAATGGTGATAATGATTGAAAATCTGTTACTGGTTGTCCTTCATTCTCAGTAATGTATTTTTATTATGTTTTCAAAGAATGCTTGAGAATTGTGGCGTTAAGCCTTAGATGTCTACCACTGAGCAAATTACTGAATAGTTTGAATAAATAAAATTTTCACTTAACCATTATTTGTTTCAGAATCAAATTTTTACTATATAATTCTCAATAACTACATATTATTATAATTTAAAATGTTTCGCATTAGTTTTAACACGTCTTTAAATTGCAGAAACGATTAAATTTTTGAGAGACTTATGCATTCCTCAGTAATGCTGAGAAATCAGAACTGCTGATTAGAATTTTCGTACTGTTGTTGGAAATTTCAGGTATTTCTATTGTTTTAAATTACTTTCAAGCGCATGTTTATTTTTTGCCAAGTAGATAATGCAAAAATTAAATGTAACTGCTGGTGTCAGAATATGAAAATATTCATGGAATTACTGAACACATTTTCCCGCCAAACTTACGGGAATTTTTGATAAATGACATCATAATGCGTGAGTATAACAAATGAAGCTTTATCTCGTGGGAAATCCTGAAAAAAAAGAAGTAATTTTGGAATTGAGAAGTGGGCGTTTTTTGAGCATCATTTTGATGGCAAGCTACAGTTTTCAATATTATTAGAAAGATTACCTGATAGTTGTGTAGAAGAGATCATTTTTTAATAAATTACATTACAGTAAGACTAACAGTCCAAAATGATCTGGCGAGATCATGTAAATAGCAGTAAAATAGCTGTAGCTTGCCAATTACATAGTACCTCAGGCTAATTTCGACCTCCACCACACATTCATTTTTCCTCCTGTCACTTTCCAGACGAACTTTTCACGTTGACGTCATCAGACTTTACTAAGTTAATTAATTGTTAATTATAATTATTTGCTAATGCTTAAATATTGTTTATATTTTACAATTAGATATGTTAAGTTCCCTCAATTGCACAAAATAAATGGAAATTTTGCGAACAATGCAAAAAAAGCATTGAAATTATTCTTGAAAGGATTAAAGATCTCTGTGCAGCAAAAAATTGCTAGGAAAATGTCATTGGGTCATAATTTTATCAATGAAATCATTTTTGCTCAATGGTTTCATTTGTATTGTTTATATCATCAGCAGAAAGAAATGTCCTTTTAGCTTTTTCCCTTTTCTAGATAGAAAACAAATATTATTCATCGAAAACTTCTGATTTTATTGAATTCCACCATAGACGTGCGTACCATGCCGAAAACATTTTTTTTCCTATCATAGAAACATGTGCTGTTTTGTTTCAGCACAAATACACTTTGTTGCGATACATGGAACCATGTTAGAATTCATTATTTTGTTTCTTGTAAAATATTCGTTCTTTTTTTCAGATGCCATACATTGTATCCAACGCGAAAATTTTCTAATCGTTACTCCAAATGTTACCTGTCAAATGTTCGCTGTTTTCATTAACAAAAAATTAAATTGTTAGATTTTCAGTCTGCAAAAAATAGTTTTTTATATGTTGTCATTCTTTTTTTTGATAATTAATACGGCCAATAATGAAAAAGAAATTCGATGGATGAGCTCTTATTTTCGGTCCACAAGCTGCGAAGTATTATTTTTTATATGAAATGATTCCCGGTTATTCATATCATTTCAATATCACGGGTTAAGTGTGTGATGGTAATTATCCATCAATATCTAGTGTAATATTTTCTTTGGCTTGCAGTTCAAATGTGAACAATTCTTATCACAAGCATTTCTCAAAACTTCAGAATTTCATAATACATGAGTATGGAGAATGAAATACAATCAAATAATTCATTTAATAAAATTCCTAATCATCGTAAATTGAATTTAAACTTAAACTTGATTTCAAAACGAGTACAGAAACAAGGCTTTAAATAGATATAAGTTTCATTTTCTATCAAAAAAACACTCAATATGAATTTGAAGATTCTTTTTGTCTTTGTTTAAAGTCAAAATGAATCGAAAATCATCTCCTCTATTTCTATATACTACCAACTTTTGATTTTATCTCTTGAATTATCAATGGTTTCATTAAGTGGAATTTATAGAAATATAAAAGCATTCATCAAGCTCAAGAGTAAAATTTTACATCCTTAATGCCCTAAGCAGTCGTGATTCGCTCCGATTAACTCTTATCAATCATCATCGAATGAATTTTTATTTAATCTACTTTGCTGTTCCTTTTTATGTTAATTTACCATTTTGTACCATACAACACTGATCTTATTGATTATTCAGGAAATGCCATCATTTTCATCAGTCAGTTCACCGAGCAACTTCAAAATGGTAAGTTTTTTTTTCTTTTGTTGGATAGAGTAAGGTAAGAATATTATTGATTGAAGTATTTTAGATGTAGCTAAGCTTTGGCATCATTTATTGAAGTGATTCTTGGTTTAATTTTTTGGACAGCCATTGTTTTTGAAAATGTTGATAGTAGAACGCTGATCACAAATTAATAAATCAATGTAGTATTTTCAATGATGATTATATGTTCGTGAAGTACAATCGAAGGATTTCTGTCGTAGTAGCAGCCAGAAGAAGGTAAAACATTTAACGAAGAGGCGCAAAGAGATATTATAGGCGACTTTAAAAAGAACTCAAAAGAGAAAGTGGTAAATGAAACTGAAAAAAATGGAAAGCAGTAGGAGAAAAAAGGCAAGTAAAGGATGAAACTAAAGAGAAGAAGAACTAATGCTATTTATATATTTAAAGGACCTTCACGCACTATTGTCGTTGCCCACAATTCGACTGGGTATGGTTAAAGGTTCTTTCCTACTCAATAAATTAATTGAAACAACTTCATGAGCACTTTTTTCTTCTCTCTATTTCACCTCATCGCTTACTAGTTTATATTCTTGCTCACGTGCTCTCATATTCTTAATGATCCATTGTATCATTGTATCCATTGTATCATTATAAGCATGATATCCTAATTTTGTTAGTTTTAATTTTGCATTTCGGTCAACACTTAGATTCCCTTAATTTTAAGTCACCTTAAGGATTCAATGAATTAAACGAACATAGGTATAATCATTCCTTTCGTTTTAAATCTTAAATTTCATTCTTTCTTGTCAAGCTTGAAGGACTGATTATATTGCAGAACATAATATAACTTGAGTCCATTTGGTATTGTGTTTATAAACTACAGAAAAGTTAAGGATTAGTTCGACTTTTGGAAGATTCGGAATTCTTCCATAAGTGTTTAAAAATTACTTTCAAGTGGCGATAAAGTTGTAGGGAAAAAATTTGTTTCACATCTTTATTACATAGACCTTTCATTACATATAAACACTTGTGTTCTTTATTGCAATGTATGCACGAAAACGTCTGGGTTCCAAGCAAAGTCTCAATATCATCACGATGCTGACGTATGCCCAAAATATTGTTAGCTTACCTATTCTAGGGTGACTCCATAAGTTGTGTCATTTTCTGGAAAGGTTAATGTTGTTTTGTTTGAACTTGACCATTTAAATTTGGTGCGATACATTATCATTATTTTGATGCTTGTAGTATGTTTATGATGGTATCCTTTCAATGCGAATCCTCCAACCATTTTGTGGAATTAAATAAAAAATATGAGATATCAGCCATGACCTCCAAGTAACATGGTATGATATGTTCTGATTTTCAATTATTTTTCTAAGGTGCTACTTGTCGCAATGTACAAATTTTCATTTATTTATTTTTTGTCCATTCAATTCGATCTTTGTAATATGCTATGCGGGCTGTTCGGCTACAGCAATTCTGTTAGCCAACCAATTAGCTCGATCGGTAAGTTAACCAATGGGAACCTAATACATCAAAGCTCTAATCGATTCGTCTTTTTTACTGAACGAAGGGACCTCGATCTTAAACGAAAAGTCTTATACCGTTAATTTGGTAGTCGCAAAAAAATTAAATGCAATGTGGAAGTGTTTTTTTTTGTTATTGTTTATAGGAACATGTATCACTACGAAAGGAATACCTGCCACGGTCGATGGGTACCACAGAAGTTGTCATTTATAAAAGTAACAACAGTCATTTTGCATCCAGAATTCGTGCTATGGTTAGTTTATTTCCGCATTTCATTGTCAAAGCAATGGTTATACTCCGCTTTATTTGCAACTATTTGTAGCTCATTTGAAGTGATTTCTCACCGCCTTAGCTTTAACGAATTATCATCAGAAATAATCCTGCAAGGACAAAGGTGATCATCATTCATATTAAATGTCATTGTGCCGACAACATAGATTTATAAAGTGAACAGTAAAATTCAGTATTAATTTTACAAATCATAGCAAATTCATTACAAATCATTACTATTTGTTTTTTAAAACCATCTGTTCATCTTCATTCAGCAATGTTAATTTGCATGAACTGAAAACGCTTAGTGCTCAAAATACAATACTTTTAAAATGTTTTAAACATTCTTATTTATCTATTGGTCACAAAAAAACAACGATCTGTAAATAGTTAATTGCTTTCATTCTTTCTTTTTCTTCTTCTGTTCTTTAGTCTCTGTGTTGATTATAATCATATATTATATTGAATTTATGGAAACATATCATTCGTGCAGAAGTTTAAGAAATCATGAAAAATCATCTAAACACAATTTCAAGGCAATTTTCTTATTTGATGTTGGTGGTGATGAAGCAAATAATAAGTGATGTAGCTGTTGGCCCGCAGACAAGGTCGGCTTTTTGGACGATTGAAGTCGTAGTAAAAAAGTAAGTGGTTTTACTGTAGTTTGTTTCTCCATAAGCTCATCTTGTTTAAGTGATGTAAATGAGCGTAGATTGGCCAATTTAACGCATTGAAAAGGATCAGTTTGGAGTGTAGAAAAACCCAAAAGCACTTTTGCGAAAACAATATTTCACTGACGAATGTGGCGCACCGTCACTGATCCCATGACCCGAATTCAGCTAGCGATAAAGAATAGAACATACTATCAGGAAACCAGTTCAATTCAACTTCACTGCAACAATTGCTTATCCGAAGAACTCAAAATACCCGTTTCTCTTCATCTGTCTCTTCACTCGCCTAACATTTCTCTTTTCACACCAGTGCCATTTTCTAAATTCTATTTCTCCTTTAGTTACTCCACTTTTGACTGTATCTCGCTACGAAAATGATATAACAATGCTGCCTGCCACATTCTCGACAAAAACATAAATTTACTAGTGATGAAAAAACGTCATACAGGATTCCAAAACACGTTTCGTGAAACGTCCTCAAGAAGACAACAATCACTGCAAACAAAAAGCGCATGATGATTTGATCACCCATGTATTAACGAAGTTGTCATAATTTATGCAAAACATATAAAAGTTTGCCGTTTAGAGATTGATATGCTCATTCAGGATGTATGAGATGATAATCAGATACAAAAACCCAAAGCAATCAACAATTAATACGAATTTACTTACTGAATCAATCACCCCCTATTAATGTCGAGAATTCTCTCCAGTTTGGACTAATTGTTAAATGAAAGGTTTCTGCATTCCGTCCAACGAATTGCGAGGAACATTTTTTTTTGCAACAGAATAAGTGAAAGTATATTAGAATTGATTCAAACTAAATAGCAATTTCTTTTTTAATTTTTCCGTGAGGTCATCTGCTGCCAGATGTTTTTCTCTTTTTTTTTCATTTCAAGTGTCGGCTTATCTCTGTGCACAGAGAAATTCTCTGTATGGCTTTTTTTTTCATCTGAAAAATGAGCGGTAATTGTGCTTGCGTCGTTTGAATTTTCGATACTTTCATAACATGAACATCACCTTCTACTACTTTGGAAAAAATGCTTTGAATTTCTTGAAATCGTTTCTTTTAGTCACTAGTAGGAAAATATGCAGTGAAATATTGTTAGTTTTCCAAGTGGAAAAGAGTATCAGAATATCCTTTACTAAGCAAAAATTTTAAAAAAATCTTCGATGTTCATTTCTAAAAAAAGTATTTCAGAGAGAAATTTAGCCGAAACTAGTCATTTTTCTCCATATATTTTGTCACAATACCATTCAAATGTTTTTGAAAAGCGATTTTTATTTTTGCACATGTTTGTTCAGACATCCACACAGGTTTAGGGGGACTTTTTCCTGAAAGAAGAAATTTCACCAGCTTAGCGAAAAAATGTTTCCAATACTGACTAATATATGTCCTATGATCACTATGCTTGCTTAAACAATACACTAATAGGACAAAAGTGCAACGGAGCGTTGCGACCCACTTTCAAGAAAATTTTTTCGCGAATTAAATAGGAGACCATGTAGATGGACTGACTACTCATTGGTATACAATATCTTGTTTTCTTTTTTCACTTTATTGTTGTGGCATGTTAAATTACATAATAACTTGGCTAAATATGAAAATAGAATTGCAGTTTACCGTAAATAGTTGCAAGAAAGACATGAAAGAATTTCAAATTTTTGGTGAAAAGGTTTCGAATTAGCTGTGTGTGCCTGAAGTTGTTTTTTTTTGACATAGCTGGTTGCTAATTATTAAGACAAAATATTTTTCAGTCTTGTTAACTGAATTAGGTAATTGCTTCGTTCTTCATTAAGCTCGCAAAGTGTCATGCTGCTTTGATTTGTCTGAAAGAAATTATTTGCGGCATTCGCTGTGCTAACTGCAAGTTATGATGTTTAAGTGATTTTAGTAGATTTTCTGATAATTACCGAAAAGTACTATAATGTAGTAAAAATGATCAGAACTTTAAGTTAAGCTGAAGAAGTATGAATAATTTTATCTCTACACGAGCTGCTAATACGCTGAAACTTCCGAACCACGAGTTTTTTTCCTGTCAATTCAAACTATCAATAGCATAAGCTGTCCTTCAGGCTGCTTTTTCAACAGTAATTATTCAAGAAATAGGCTGAAGTCTTATTGCATTGGAAAGAAAATTTCCTGGAAATGACGGCCTAAATAAGCACCTTGCACAACTTATGATATCCAGACGTTTGATTGAGGAGTATTTGATAATTTGCCAACAAATTCAATCATAGCCGACACATAGATCAGGTTATGAGAGTTGTGCTTAATTTATTTTGAATGATCGTTGGCAAGTAGTTATTTTGTCAACATTGGATAGGATCATTCAAATTGTATGAAATGGAAAAAGAAAGGAAGAGGCAAATATTATGCGAAGTTTCAATGAATAGCTATGCAACAAATTGCTGTAGTTGACAGTGCTAATAGCACTAATCTTCCGCACTTCTGGGTCATGGTTGGTTTTCCCAGTTATAAGTGATTCGAAATGCAAAAGTGCATGAATGAATTGATACGGAGAATGAGCTATTGCAGGGATTATAATTAATAATAAATGTAAAGTTAGAGAGATAGGGAGGGGGAGAAAAAAGTGAATGGACCGGTAGTGCTGTATGTTGTGGGTAAGGAACAAATGAATAATTTAGGAATAGCTTTTGAAGAATTAGTGAAGAAAATGGGGGAGAAAGTAGGTGAAGATGAGTGAATTATGGTGCTGCTCAATGTGTTGATGTGAGTGTAGAGGGTAGGGATTGCAGTAGTGCATCCGGAGTTGACTTGGGGGCCGAGAAGGGCCGCGGGGCAGGGTGTACCGGGACGGGTGTCCATGCAGACCGGATCCTAGATATAGTGTACGCGGGGGTGTGAGTGTGTTCTGTTAACTAATTGCCCCTCCCCCCTCTTCTCCCTTACTCGTCCATTTCTTGACGGGAGACGGGAGGTGCGATGAGATTGGCATCATCCCTGGGTACCGGTCTTCCCGGATCCACTCACTCATTGTGTCAGTTCAAAGTGCAACCAGATGACCATGGACTAGAAATCTTCATTTTCTCTCCTCTCCTCATGCAATAATGACAACTGGAAAGGCGATAACACTACATTTGCCTTTACTCTACATTTCGCTTTTTTCTCATCCGATGACACTGTGGACCGATAAACCAAGGAACAAGCTTTGAGGAAGAGAAGTGGAACCAGCAATATCACCACTACTGCACACCACATAGGTACGCATACCATTGTCACATCAATCCCTCCTCCGATTACGATTTGTGATTTGCAGGAAATCCAGATTCTCCATTAAACTACCGATCTATCTCATGCATATATCCTTCAACAGTTTCAATTATACCATATTCGCCCATCGAGCAATACATTTTCTAAAGCAACTTATCTTACCTATTTTAATTATCTTTCAACTTCCCACACACTTCATGCTCAGAAATATAATGTCCATCATCTGTATGAAAATATCTACTTTTTCATATCCCGAATAATATCACTACTTACTTTATCAAAAAGTATCTTCTTTAGACCTCTATATTATTCTCCAAACTTTTGATTCATTCCTACTTACATGAAAATTTTTTACTCATCGCAGTTTAAGTAAGCAGTGTTCTGAAATATAGCGCAATATATCCATTGGGAAAAAGGATAATTGTTCACTTGACTCTACTTAAAGCTTAGAAAATTGTTTGAGGACTGGAACTATGCAGGTAGATTGTGACGTTGTCGCCTCAGATGGCCAGTTTGCAAAGCTGAAGAAAAAGTTGAGAGGGGAAATGTGCATGCTTGAATAAATCTGAAATTCAGAGTGTGATATATGTGGGTATCCATAAAGATCAGAGGCGACCGGCAGTGAAAGAGGATGAGAAGCCAGTGTGCGGCAAAAAAGATAAAATTTAAAGGAGAGAAAGAATAGTTAGTGGGGGCATCGGGCAACGTAAAGTTGTATGAAATTTGTGACAATTGGAGAGAGAACTGAAAAAGAGAGAGAGAGATTTTTAAACGAAAGTGGTTGTTTCTGTTTCTGGTTTCCAAAAGGCAGAAAATAGAGGCGGAGCATTGACGAGACGCCCTCCGACCAGTCCGGTTCAGCGTTGTCATTCCAATGTACCTCCGGTGACCAGTGACCATCCGAGGCTGCCATCACGGTCAAGTTCGCTTCCCTTGCCCTGCCTCCTGCTGCCACCCAACAGACGCATCATTGCTTCCACTGTTCCTCCACATACAGTTACCTCCATACGCAGCAACAGCAACAACAACAGCAACAACAACAACAGCAACAGCAACAACAAAACAACAACAACAATAACAATAGCAATAACAACAATAACATCAACAACAACAAGAACAACGACAGCAAGAACACAAGAATTAATAACAGCAGCAATCCCGAACATCAATCCTGAGACTGCCGTTTCTTTTGTACATCGGGCCGCGTGATATCCATTTGGAAATATTCATAACATGCTGGTAAACTTATCCATATTTTTGTTAAAAAATTGTTATTCTCCGAGAAATTAACGATCGTTAGCTAATTTCACGTCTTTTAATATCATTACTTCGATATATTATGACCCACTTAAACGATTTGATCTGGAGAACAGTTTTATCACTATTTACCAAGTCATTCTCACGGCGATAGATATCACAGTTGTACTTTTCTTTTGCCTCATCCGTTTTTCTTGCAATCCCTTCAATTTCATTTCAAATGGTTCGTCTTATTTTCTTGCTCAAAAAAAACTTTTCCTTAATCGAGGCCCAAAAATTAACTTTGAAACAATGAATGCTTTGTCAGTTGTTCAAATTGAACAGTGATGATAGGCAGATCACTGTTAGAATTTTGTAAGTTATTTTCAAAATTATCATTTCCATCCAGTCATCTTTAAATAAGTATCTCATTAGTATCTATAACATTAGTAGCTATTCTCTATATATTCAACGTAATTTCGCGTTTTAACTTTTTTCTGACATTTATTTATTTTAATGAAATAAAAAATATTTATCATTTTATGCTCCTCAATACTTCAGATTTAATCTGTTAAAAATTTATTTTTTAAAAACTTAGAAAACATTTTCAATTCTAGATGCATGTTTTGTAGCAAATATATTTATAGGTTTACTGCAATACTAATTCGATCTGAGATAGCTAATTCGAAATTGTTAAGGTCAGTTATTTAATAAACATGGATTATACGAATGGCTAAGACATTCATACTGAATAAATTTATCCGATCTCAGTCTAATTCATTTTATGGAAAAATGGATTAAAGAAAGAAATTTAAATCTGTTCTTATAAAATACATTGTAAAACCGGCTCTTACTTTAATCGATATTAATTTACATTTGGTGCTTTATTTCCATTATTGATACTTAACAATGAACTTTTTATTTATTGTTGTTAGTTGGAATACCCATTTTTTTATCATTAAAATTGCGGCAATCATGAATAACTTTCTGTACCGCTCAAAATTGAGACTGAACGTAAGTTAGAATGGAAATTGGTTCTGGGGAATATGTTTCCTGTCTTCTCCTCCTCTACCTCCTCCACTTTCTTCTCCCACAATATTGCATTTATCCTTTATCTTACATAAATTATCGCTCATCCCCACAGCAACCGGTATTCATTCTAAATTGCAATAGTGCACCAGTATGTCGTGCATTAGTGGCCATCAATCAGATGAGCCTTTTGACGAACATTCCAAGGTGATTTCTTTTTTTCTGCAAGGGGTCCAAAATGATCATATTTGTGCGTAACTCATGCATCTATCTGGTTGTTTGTCAAAGATTTCGGTTTTCAAAGTAAGAATCAAGTATAACCCACAAACAAAAAAACCAGTTTCCTATGCCTTTTGCGAGGTTGTGAACTAAAGCCCAATTTTTAATGCATCTCATTAAAAGTAAACTATAAATTTGAAATTTGGAGTAAACAAAAATTGACCAGTATAATGTCTGGCTTAGTAAGATCGCAAATGCTCTGTTATGCTCCGTGGGTAACAACTGTACTTTAACAAATTTAACTTAAGGTCATTTACTAAAAATAGCTTTTAAATATTTTTTTTGTCTATTTCATAGTAGACGGATTAAATCAGAGCTCTTTGGTTCATTCTGTATTGAATCTTACCGCAATTCAGCAGGCAATCCTTACTCATGATTTCATTGCTTAGTATTTCTAGAGAAATGATTCAGTTTAGGTAAGGTGATAACGTTATTAAAAACTTTGTTACTAGCTGATAGATAGATGAAGTTGTGTATTATGAATAGTAACAAGAGGTTTCAGATAAAGTCTCGTAGATAAAATCTCGTAATGTATCCTTGTTTTAAATATTTTTGCCAGCAGGTGATCTTTTCTAAACAACAAAACTGGAAGAAAATGATTGCAGCATAAATTATTGTCTAAATGTGCGTATGAGTAGTCACAATAATAATATAGTAACGTGCTTTTGAAGAAACTGTTAGTACGAATGTGAGAAGGGGAGATTGTATCATTGTCGTATCATTGATATTGTAGAAATGTATAAATGTTAAAGTGTAAGTATAATTCGTTTCGTCTCATCTATACGAAAAAATTGACGTAAAATGTTTGCATAAGGATAGGGAGAATGGATGTACCAGGGACGGGGAATGAAATGTGATGGGATCCTTTTGCGAAGACTGATATCAGTAATAGGTGTATGGCTACAATAGCATGATGATATCACTAGAAACTAGAAATATCACTTTAATAACATAACAACATCACTCTGGAAGACGAACAACTACATATTCATCAGTAATAAATTTACGAAATCTAATCAACTAGAAAAGATCGCTAAGGACTTTTGATATAGAGGAGCACAAGTTTTCCCAGGTATTATGGAACAAAATTTTCCGTAGAAAAATTTAAAAACCTGAGCAGATCTGAAATCGTATGAATGACAGTAAATAAATCGTAAGATTAGAGGATTGACATTGAAATCAACAAGAAATAGTTTAATTAACAAATTATTTATGAAGTCATTTCAATGTTAGTAATTAAAAGAAAAAGAGGAAAGGAAAAACCGGGGAGAAAAAACTCTTTATATTGTCAAATTCTCTTTAGAAACTAACAAGAATAAAAAAGAAAAGTCGGAAATGAAAGATGAGGAGGTCAGGAATTGAAATATGATGAAAAAGGTTAGGAAGGAAAAAGAAATATGTACGAGAGGTTAAATGAAACAAAAATTATTCTGCAATAAATTGATGAACAAGGTAATTATGATATAAGCATTCCATCTCCGCTTTATATGCGAACTTTCATTTTCGTAAAATTCAATTTTTCGTTATAATTCTATTGTTTACTTTCAACGAAATATATGGATGTACATACATTTCGCATAACTGGATTTTTAATTAATATCTTTTTTTTTTTTAAATGTGACCAAGAATAGATAAAGTCACACCATTTGAAGAAGTTAATGAAATAGATTAAATAGTTCAATGGTATAGGTATTAATTATATTGAATTGCAACCTCTTTTGTTGAATTATGAAGTTAAATAAAGTTTACAGTGGATTCATTACCTATTTCGACTAAAATAATTTTGTTATTCCAAACAGCTCGTTTTATTTTGGATCTTGATACCAAAATATGTATTAAAATGTAAATGAGAAATTGTGAGTCGGCAGCAAACAAGATTGATCAGATAAATGTAACAAATGTGATTGGGATAACTTTTTTCCTCCAACATTGAACAAGCTGAAGAATTTTTTGTAAATAATATCAATCTTACAAGAGTTTTTCTAACATCCTAATTCATTTTAGAAAACCCAAAGTAGGTAACTTGAAATGAGGACAAGGAATGAACAAGACTTCAATTCAATGAAACATAAACTAAATGCATTTCAAGGCTGTTTTCTACTTGAACTAATTTTTGCTGCAAACCGTTACAGTGCTCAACCATCAGTAATTTAATATCCACAGAAAATCTCTTGCTGAGTGTTTGCACCTTCATTTTTCCTGGAATAATGGATATAACACGTGCAGGAAGCTAGTAGAGAAGAAACTAAAATTTTATTGGTTTCATACTCTATAGATTTAGCATTATCAGATGGATTCATATGAAATCTCAAAATTACTACTTGGAGAACTGAATTTTTCTGTCATATTGAACATTTTTTTAAAAGTATATAAGAAGATAACTTTGATTAAAATTTTTTTATTTGCAGCAGTAATTTAGGATACAAGTTTTTAAGGGTTATGCGTGCTGTCACCAGATATTTTAAATCATTAATGCAGCTAGAAAGATGTATTTTGAGGTCACGCTACAATTATCAAAATTTTTTTTATTTTGCAAGCGAAACCTTAGTTGGTAAACTCAGTTTTCTGGTTTAATTCATTCATAGGGATGTGACTTTCTGTTTAAAATCGAAACCAAAATCTAAAGTTGCATGAGATTTGATGACAAAGAAATTTTAAGACTTCGATTTATGCAATATAAGAAACAAATCCACAAAATATTGCTGCTGTGTATCACTTCATTCTAAAAATATGAACTTCTACAAATGGATTTGATGTCACGAGTTAAGTTAAAACGAAGAATGAATTTAAAGTTTCAGGTTCAAGGGTTGCGTAGTGTCCGATACGAACATGCAAACATAATTATTCACTTTATTTTACATTGTTTACATCAGATGCATTGAAATTGATAATTTACAAAATATAAGCAGAATGAATGTACTATCAGTAAATAAATAAATGTAGATGAGCATTTCGAGCTTCCAGAGGAATTTTTTGCTAATTACTTGCATAATGTTTGGGTACAAAGGGACGATGATTTCAAGTTTATAACTGCCTCTCATATATGTATTTGCTCGCCTCCCTTTTCTTCGCAATGATTAGGTCTTTTTTTAATAAAATTAGCTTTTTTTTTCCTCAAAGAATCTGTTAATTAAGTGTATTCATTTAATTCAGAATATGATATAAAGTGTCTTTTCAATTCTTTTTGGAAATGCTAACAAAAGATGTCCTCAAAAGTGCGCACTGTCAACTGAAGAGATTCTCAAATGGAGGCTGACAAAAAAAAATCCTTAACTAGTAAGCAAATTTTAACTAATTTAATTTTTCTTGCACAATACCTATTCATTAATACCGAAACACTTAAATTCTGAATTAAACATTCTTGAGCAATTTTTGGGGAGAAACTGCTAATTTTAGAATTTCAGAATATTTTTTAGTAATGCACACACTGCAAGTAAAGGGTAAGTGAAGCTAGTGCTATAGGTTTTCTTCACTAAGTTGTTCGCTGCTTTTAGCTGATGTTGACATATTTCGTGTACTTATAAATCCAGTCATACTGGACTACATAGCTATCTACTCAGGTTCCTTTTATTTCATATTATGCATCCGTTTCTCTACATGGACCTTTTTACTAATTAATGCACTGAACTACGTCCTATTCTACAACAGTTAAAGTATTATTTATTTCAAAGTTTTGCTGCTATTATATATATTATATCCTTTTATTCTTAACTTGTTTAAAATTTTCGAAGTTTCGTAAATTCAAAACTCTATGCTCATTTAGAGGCTTTATCCATATACGTGTGAAAACGAAAAATCCAATATCTTCAGTAAAATTCCTGAAGATCATATCTTACCAGTCAATTATCTGTTTTTAAAAAATTATTTAAAGAATTTAACTGGAGCTCAGATGTTTAAAACCTTCAAATAATTTCTGGGTGTTATTGAATTATTAAGCACAATAGAAATTATCATTGCGGAATAAGGCACAATATGTCTAGGCCTCCTGAGCTCTGTGTCAAATCGTCGATTTTTATAAGACCAATTTTTATAAGACCATCTAAAATGATCGGTGGCTGTTAAAACAAACAAACGTTATGTTTATTCTCCTTCAATCGGCCATTTTCTAGTTTTCCTATTGTCCACGCAAAAAAGAAAAAACTCATGTGAATCTCGAGCATTTAAGTCTTAGTATGGTTTCTTATAAGATGAAAGCCGATTGAACTTGGTGAAATCTTCTCGCTTACCAATACATCTACATCCATTCCATAACCGTTCGCAATCGCTAGAAGTTTTTATATTTAAGAGTGCCACTGATTCTAAGATAATTTTCAAATTATTATCACAAATTAACAAAATTAGATAGTATTGTTCCGAAATATAATTTGAAGGATTTTGAATTTTGAGTGTTTAATTGCGGTTCTGATTTAGTGTATAACTTAGAAATGTAATCTTTTAGAATAGTTGAAGCCATTAAATAATGTCTCAGCGTTTGAATTGAGTGGCACTAGAACGAGAATTTTTTGAGAATTGATTTTGATCCCCGCAGTTAAACTATACTGTTTATCAGTGAGGAGAGAATCTTAGATACAGTTGGAGGAAAATTATTGTAACAGACGTGATGTTCATAGCTCAATAGTTGATTATGTCCTTCAACATAGGCGTCCCAATCATCTTACTATTTCTTCTCCCCGCCTTTCTTCTCTGTCCCGAATAAATGTTCTGCTACTGTGTCCTTTAAAATCAGTCCTTGAACTCAGGCAGAAAGGTTTGACACTTGACCTCTGCACCTGTCGCATCTATCGTATTCCCTATTCACTTGATCGGCCTCCCCTTATCTTCGTATTTCAGTCTTTAATATCGTATTTTCTCGATAGCTTTTCATCACTAAGTGTTCTAATGAATATCTTATTTCATTAAAATTTGACCATTCATAAACAAGGAATCTTAAAAAATCTTAAGAAGGTATGATGAAATCTTGGCTAGGTTGATCACTCAAAATGATCATACTCTGTGTGAAAATCGAATAAAATTTTAGAGTAACTGCATTATAAATTGCTTTAGAGTAGCCAATTCGTTCTGCACGCGTTGTCCTCAGTAGTAACAGTCTTTATAAGGAAATTAAGAGCGATTATTCAAATATGAACGGTCAATTTGATGAAAGTGGATTGATTGCATAATGATCATGCTGCAATCACTTTCCTCTTGAATTATTGAAGACAGATGATGAGTATTATGAGTAATAAGCTGGTTGCTTTTAAAAGGAAAATTTTGTCGGCTCTGAATTAAATTTTATGGCGGCTTATCAAGCAATGTGTGCATCTGTTTGTCTGCCACGTAATGTGTTTACTTTGTGAAGCAGGGAGAAGTGTTTAATAGCTGCATGGTCTCTTCTGTGAAGGTGCTCGAATGATATTGTGAACAACTGCAGCGTTATGCCTATGTTCCTGTTGTGCCCTAAACGCTTGTTTATTTCTTACAAACAAATCACACTTGTCACTGATATATTTTTCTTCACATTTAGTGGCAGCTTATCCTGCTTGAACCATCTATTGAGCGATGGGTCATTTTACGCAAGCGCGATAGTATTTTTCCCTTCCCTTATTTATCGGTGTGTTTTTAGTCTGTTATGCAATGTTTGTCAGTTCTCTAGATTTTTTCCTATTAGGCTTGCAAAAAGATTTATAGGAGTTGCAAACATTAACAATATTTCATCAACTGTATATAACAATCATAACGGTAAACAGTATCCAGATAGTAATGACCCTTCCTCTTTCGGTAAAGGTGAAGAGAATTTTCAAGGATGATAGAAGGAGTTGGAGCCATTGGAAATATGGATGTCTATAGATGTAGGTTTTTGTGAGTCAGAAAAGTCTTTAAATTCATTAAAAAAGAATTCTTTTGCGATACCAAGTAACGTTGCCTTCTTCACACACTTCTAACTTCTAACGATGACATATATTAAAAACAGCATAGTTGTTGTTTCTTAGCAACATCATTTGCTGCTAACCAACAAGGGAAAGTGCTGTTAGATTCTATTTGCTCCTTTTTCCAGCATCATTTATTCATTTACAGTTCAAACTTATGCACAAAGCGTCCTTTAAAAACACTCTTATGAAGCTGCTTCCTTTTGGCTGTCGCTTTAATGATTATTTGAGTTGTCACCCCAATACTCACAGCAATAAACTCTAGTTATTCTACTTCTGCATCCCGGATGTTATTGCATTGTCAAATTGTCTTCAAAAGCTATGGGTAACAATCGTGAATTTATTTTCAAGCTTCTCTTTTGCCATATTTCTACCAATGGTCACCATCAAAAATCTCAGAAAGTTGAAGCTGGGGAGAATATATTCTGTTACTCATTTGTCGCAAGGAAATTCCTGCTGTTTATTACATTGCGAATGGTGCAGTGCAAATTTATCACTATCGCTAAAACTATAACGTTATGGTCTATCAATATTTGATGACAAGTGCATGATTGACGGATCTTAACTTTTTGTGTTCTATTTGACTTACTTATATCATAATTTCGCCAAAAAAAATCACATCCAATGATCCAAATAACTTTATAATTCCATTTACTTCTGCGAAAATCATTTTGCCATTAGCATGAATAACCATTTGTTCTTTAAATTTTATTTTAAATGTTGTTTTGGTTTTTAGAGCTTATGAAATAAAAAAAGTTGTGAAAAGGTGTTCTCTAAAGATTATATGTGAGGACGAGAAACTGTTTCCTTCTACAATGTGGAAATAAACATTGAGGATAGAAATTAGGCTCATTTAGGTTAGGCAAGTAAGTTTTCTCGACCATTTAGGTTAAGCTACTTTTTTCCTCCCTTGTCTTCAATCGGTTCCAGTATTCTTTTTAATTAATATGCAATCTTAACTTCATTTCAAGTCGTTTTAGGGCGGCATTTATGGAAGAATTAGTACATCAGAATAAGGAATAAATGAGCTCAAGAGAAAACACATTGTTTACTACTATTGGTTGTCAAACGATATTTGAGATGAAAAGCAGACAGGGCACGCACTATCGGCTGACATTTGACTCTCTTTATTCTATATGTTGGTTTCTGCCACTTTTGGCCAGGAATCGTTTCATGACCTTTGCCACATCTCCAATATTCATCTTTTCAGCACCATATAACTTCCAGTGTCTCATTAACTCATTTATTTCACCTCTTATTTCGTTCTGCAAAATCTTTTGATTAGTAATGACAATTATCAAAATGGGACAAAGATACAAAAAAAATTTTGTGGAATGATCATTATGCAACTTAGTAATGCTTAACTTCAACATACTTTCTCATATTAACGGGCAATTAACAATACCTATCTCAGTACATGAAGTATTATTGTGTCCAAGCAACAGCAACATATTAAAACTAACATTGACACACAAGGTCAAACGACTATAGATAGTACAATGCACCCGATCTATGGCCCCGGGTTCACGACCTTTGTTATCCATTCTCACCACTCGTGACAGCAAGATGGATCTGACCTTTCTAGTAATAAATCATATCAGCATACACTTTCACATACTTTCACCCTTGTCAAGATCCCTTTACTTATCGTACTGTTTACTTGTAACCATTTTGCAGATGGGCAGTATTTGGGGAAAAGTGAACTCAATTAAAACTTCTAAATTCAACTCTGTTTCCTGCTTTTCATAATATGCTTCTACGGATTTTGATTCAGAATTGTTTTTAATTTGACTTACAATTGTTATTAGCGATATCTTTATGAGTGATTTTTTTCCTGTCCACTATATCAAAGTTCGGTAAACAAAGTGCTATTGAAGACCGACATATCCCAGGGATGATGTATACACATATATACGGACCCTAAGCATACAATTGTGGAGGAAAGGAGGTGAAAGCAAAAGGAATGAAATGAGTCGTGTTTGTCGAATGGGGGTGAATCGGGTGACTGGTACGAGCAGTACTGAGGAGTGTAAGTGTGCGGTCAAGGGTCAAGCTGCCTCTGTCTGCCCTGTGCCCTATCATCTTCGCCCTCTTCCATTTACTCACCGACGCTACCGATGACAGTAGAGCTCGATCACAAACTTACCCTTTTGAAATTTGCTGATTTCAAATTGTTTTACTGAAATCCCATTTCATTACATTATTTATTTTATTAAACGTTTAACCTTGATAAATAGGAGGTCTTTTTAAAAATATTTCCCAATTTTATCCCTATAGGCTTGTAATATTTAGTAAATCAATTTCAAGCTGTTCTGGACACATGGGTCAATGATACTTTTACAGTCTACTCCCTAAAAAGTCAAATAGACTGATAAGCATGGTTAAGGTGACCGCTCATTAGGTCATCAGAGATAGCGAATGTCGTCTGAGATTTTATGGCTACTAGATGAAACAGCTTAAAACACTATTTCTGACGAAATTGCTAGTTGTCATCACCACTAACGTAACGGAAAATTAGTTCAAATTATGGTTCCAGCCATCATATTGTCTTTTTTACAAAGTAAACCTCAAAATTCTTAATTTCTTTATCATTTTCATGTGTTTGTTCCAAATGTGATATTTTATTCACTAAATTAACAGGATTTTCTGGCTTAATAATAAGAAATACAGTTTCAGATTAATATTTAAAATCCGAAAATTTTCTGATGATTTCATGTCATTTCATTAGAAATTTGAAATCCTGTATATGACTAATAGTAAAAGCTGGAGGAGTTCCTCCAGGAGGTAAAAACAAGAAGTTTTCGGACATTATATTAGGACTGCTGTTAGCGGTATCAGAATTTGGAGAAAGTGATTCCTGGGTGGCATATAAACTTATAAGTTAAAACATACTGGTATTAAAAAAGAGCTATCCATTTGCAACTATAATAATTACTTATCGTTTAATTACTCGTTTAATTACTTTACTCTTGGTCGTTTAATTACTCTTGAAAAAGTAAAAATCTTCTGGACACATAGCATTGATCTACGACAGGCAATATTCTATTCTCTAACTGAGAATACATGTTGAACAGTCATTTTAGTGAATTCTGTTATGGCAAATTCTCCAAGATATTGTTGAGCAATGAAAATAATGCGATTCGCCTTACTTATCTGCATAAAAGATATAAAAGTTCATGATTGCTCTAAAAGATATCTTCTCGTAACTTGTTTTACCCAGTAATTCAGCGCCGATTAAACTGCTCAAGGTTTGAAATTAGCTGGATTCTTGATTAAAAGCTCCTTTTATGTGTATTTATGAAAAACTACTCCCTAATAGAGATTCAAACATTAAACGAACATTTATATACAAGCAGAGATAGTCCAGTATTGTATGCCTTTTTGAATGATTTTATTCAAAAATATTGAAAAACGAGAGTTTCAGACCCTTGGTGGAATTCCGGCAGCGAATTCTTCAAACACAGAACCGTTACGTTCACCAACAACATCATCACCGTCACGAAGCTCCGAAACGTCAACTGTCGATACTGTCGCTTCCACTGGTTTATTCAGACCCTACCAAAAGGTTATTAGGCTATAAAATAGTGCAGACCAGGCTGCCTTTCCTTCGTAATAATAATAATTAATAATAATAGTGATAATTAACATTTCATTTTCAAATTAATTTCGAGCCAAAATTCATCAACGATTAATTCCGAGCCAAAATTTACCAACGATTAATTTCGAAGTCAAAATCTATCAACGATTAATTTCGAGCCAAAATTTATCAATAA